GTATATAATAAAGTCATTCATTAATTATTTTTAATTTATTAATTTTTTTTAATTTTTAAACTTTTAAAACTAAATTGTTACATTTTTTTATTTTTGAGAATTAATCTTATAAATATTTTGTTCAACTTTAATAAAGAGTTAAAGTATTCTTTTAATGGACAAAAAATTAATAAACAAAAGTTAAATGTTTTACCATTAGGTAATTAACAATCAAAGTTAACGGCAAAATGGATGGCACATCAAACAAAAAAAGTGTAGTGGAAGGATGACATTTATGGTGTAGGAAAAGTAGAGGGATGACATTGAACATTTCCTTAGTAGAGGGACGGTAATGAATGTTTTTACAAAGTATGAGGACTATAGTTGGCCTTAACCCTTTCATAATTAGTTAACTCTAATATCTCATTTAATCACTTGTGATATTAAAATTTGTGTGTCTCTCTCTCTTACTTCCTTATTTGAATTTTTGTGTCTTATGATTCATATCTACGATTTTCAATTTAGAAGGCAAAGAATTATTTATGGAAGAATATTACAAACTCAACATGATAACAACAACCAATTCATTAAAAACAGATGTTTTCTTTTTCCTGAAAACTCATTTGTAAATGAGCAAAATGTAAAGGAAATGATTATATACGTGATTCTTTTAGCATTAAGTTTTTATTTAGACTCTTCTAGAGTTTTCACATTTTTTTGAATTATTAATTAAGAGTAGAGATGACATTTAAACCTATTCTTATTTTAGGGGAAGGAGGTTGAAGAGCACAGGTAGGTTCGAAATTTTATAATAAGGGTATGGTAGCCTTTTATACTAGTTATAAAACCACTATATCTATTAAGTATTCATTTCTAATTTTAAGTTAGAAAGGGAAAAATTAGTTAAAATATTTAGACTTAAGACTTAATACACTAAAATTACTTTAATAAGTGCGTTTGTCACTTTAAATAATATAATAATAAAAAATATATAAATTCATGAGAATTATAATTAATTAAGTATCAAGAATAACTAATTTGAATTTATTTAAACAATCAAAAAGAAATAAAATCTAATTAAAAATAACTAAAAAATAAAAATAAAAATAATTAAGATATGAGTTATTAGACCATCTGATTTTATCAAAATCATTAATATAAATTTTAAATTAATACATTTCTACAATTACTTTATTAAATATTATTATATATGATAACAGATTTTAAAATTAAGTAAGTAGCTTTCTATTGACCTGCTACAGTAACCCGCAGTGAAGAGTTACCTTTGCAAAACAGAATGGTAGGGAGCAATGATATCAATAGCCAATAGGATTATGTTATGGCCATCCTGTTGCACACTAATCAAATGTTGAACCCTTTTTTAAAGTGGTTTTTATAATAAGTTTGAGATATACGTTGTATCTCTTTAATAAAATATTTTTTATTTATAAAAAATAATTAATTTTTTAAATTAAATTAATTCTTTATATGTTTTATTAAATTAATTATATTTTTATTTAATTTAAAATAAATTAGTGAGTTATGTGAAAACTTTTAGTTTAAAAAGGAGAGTTCTTAACTTCTTTTTTTTTTATCTACTATCACATATAACACTAATTATCTCTCAATGTCATTGCATAACACAAGATTTATATTGTTTTTGTCTAATTTAGGTAATTTTTTCGCAAGTTTATACATCAATCACATAATCATGAAAAGATGTTCAAGTTTGAGGAATTAAGTTTAAAATTTATATTAAATTAATTAAAGTATATCATAACTTTAGTAGACAGGTTAGTTCACAATAAAAATAATAAAACTTAAAATTATAGTTATAAATATAAAAATATTAAATAACAAATAAAAATAATTTTAAAAATAAAATTTAATTTATAAAAATTAAAATATTTAATTTTTTATTATTAATAAATTCTTTATTATCTTGTCTATCTTAACCTCTATCTCTCCTATCTTAACCCCTAAAAGTACCCAAAAATGGATTGTCATCAGCCTTCTTCTTAAAAGCTCTTCTCAAATTTTGATATTGGATGTGCATTTATAAGAATTTGGAAAAACTGATTGGAATAGAAATGGCATCCACACCAAATCAACATGGACGCTGTGCAGAGTTGCTGAAATTGCCCAAGGAGCCGACACCGGAAATAAGGTACCGACACCTTTACTAAACGGGCGAAGGAAGTGTCCGCGTCGGCTTTTTGGCCATTTTGGTTAATGGCAAAATGACAGAACTGGTCCATAGCTTCTGGATTCCGCACTACTTAATCCTCATTTTTTTCATCTCTGCCATTTGATCCTAAAAGTTATGATTTCTTCTAATTAAGTTTTATTCTGTACAAAAAAAATGAAAATGATGTAAAATTAAATAAAATCTCATTAAATACATTTAAATATTAATAATATTAAAATATAAATTTCATATTATTGTGTATATAAATTCAGTTACTCAATACTAACCCACCATATGATATGAGTCAGTCTACTGCCTCAAGCCCCAAGACCATTGATTGGTCCTACTCTGGGCCCAGTTGGGCACGACTTGCTTGCCATTTCTAGCAAAAGAGTTCAGAGGCACAACTTGTCCTCTTCAAATATTTTGGTAATGGACTCAACTCTCTAGCCCCAAATCCCATACAATTATGCAGTGCCCAACATGATAACATTATCACATAGCCATGCAGATTCCAGTTCCAAATGTGTAAATGTAATCATGTATTGTATTCCATCGTCATAAAATTGTGCCCACAGGTCTTTTTCATTTTGACAAGATGGAGGTCACATGGCACGGAGCCTATGGAAGTTGAAAAAGTGTGTGTGAGTTATTATTATTATTATTATCCTTCTCAAGTCTTGGGATTGTTTTGATTGGTTGGGAAAATTTTTACAAGTTTGCAACTACACTGAGCATGGCATGTGCATTTTCAAACATATTGAAGTAAATCTTCATTCTATTGTTTGCAAGATTTGAAGAGATGGAGGGAATAGTTGTTCAAATGCTTCAAGAGAAGGATGTGCAAAAATTTAAGTTCAATTTTTGTTGTAAATCTTTTAATATGTATTTAAAGGCTTCACAAGGTGTTTACCAACTATATTTATTCTCTTCATGTCAAAACTAGTCGTTTGGAGATGTTGGAGTGCATTAAATGCATTGAAATGTTTGTGATTCGAAATTCTAATCTTCGGCTTGACTATAACCTCCTACAATCGCATGTTATTTTTCATAATTTTTCACAATTTCTCAATTAGAAATTCTAACATTCAATGGTCAAAACATTTTACCTATAATTGACTCCAGCTTTTCTATAGTTCGATTGGATGATATTTTTGTATTTAATTTTAAACTCTTGACTCCTCAAGTGCATTTTACTCTATAGTTAACTATAGTTTTTTAAAGTTGATTCTGTAACTCAATTAAAGTTTCTATGTAAATTGCAAAGATGACTTTCTTTTTTCTCTTTTCTTTTTTCGTCCTTCGAACTCCGTGGTAATTGAGAAGTAGTAGGCCATGGAAAAGAATTATCACCTTTGGTAGCAATACAGTTTAAAGTTAAAGTAGTAGAGATGCAAATTTGACCATGGAATGTAGACTTGAGTCCTTTCTTTTGGGAATGTTCCCACTCCTTATTCACGATCCTACATGCAATGTCTTTATAAGGCAGCCCGGCATGGAACCTTAGGATACAAGTCTCTTTATTGTCTCCATCCTGCTCCGGAATATATGTAGGTGCCTTTGTCTAATCAGTAAGTTCAAAGATAAAACAAATTAAATGGTGACGTTGAAGACGTTGAAGGATGATGACCTCATAAAACTCCACCAATCTCAATATTTGATTGTAGTAATGCCTCAAGTTTGCTGTAGGACTTCCATTCCAAGACGTTGTTGACATCTGGTTCAACCTTACAAAGCATACCCCTTTCTCTAATTAAACCAACCTAGTTTCTGGCTTGAGCTAGTTCCTAACTGCATAGTACCAGAAGTGCCTCCCAATACACATTCATTGGACTCATGCTGTCCATGTCTACATGCATTTTGATTTGCTCACATTGCTCTTCCATCTCTTCCTCTGTTAAACACTTAAAAACCAAGTGTGGTTCATTAACCTCTCCATCCACACCATGGAGGAGGTAGCTGAAAATTAAAGAACATTAATCGGCTTCATCTGCCCTTCAAAGGGGACAGTTGTGTTATTGATTCTCATGGATTTAGAATTTGGAGCAGAGAAAAGAGGATTGATAACTATACCTAATTAACTTAATTAAGGTCTAACAAATTTATTCCAAGTAAGGAATGGTAGTTAAGATGTGACAATACATGCTCCTCAATTAAACTATAAAAACAAGAGAAATTAACAAAAAAGATAATAGCAAATAATGAATGCATTAATTGATGAGATTTTAATAAGATAAATTAAATGAAGATAATAATAACAAATTTTTGGATGTTTATTCTATGCTTCCACCATTTTTAACCTATAAGATTGAATAGAAAGTAATAGCTGAAATATAAGGATATGTTTAATTGAGTACTTTTTTTCTCATCCTTCCAATTCAAGAAAAGTGAAAAATTAAAATATCTTGAAAATTAAAATATTAGAAA